CATTTTAAGACTTCAAAAAATTACTATAGGGCTATATTCATATATATCTATAATATATATTATATATTTATAGAAGGTGATCTATTTAACGTAATACACTCATTATTTCAGAAAATACTACCGTATTTGGAAATATTTCTTTTACATAATTTCAAGTCATTAAAAACTAATAATTTTTAATTTTTAAGCTTCTTGATCTTTTTAATGATAACATACATATCTAATTTCATATTCCAAAGCAGAACATTATTTTGAATATTTCAATCTATAAAAATAAAATTCAGTACTAGTAATTTATCCGTTATAACTTATAACTTATAAGGTATTTCATGTTTTAATTTATTATATGAAAGGAGTTGGACCAATATTTTTTCGGGGTAACTGCCTGGTACCACTATTCCACTCGCCTAAACGTAAATAGGTACTTTATAAGCTACTCGTCAATAATATGATATTTATACAACAAAGTACCTAAAAAAATGCTGCTAAAAATACATGTGTTTCCATTAAGAAATTTAAAAATGATGAAGAAAAAAAATATTATTAAAAACGTTGATAGTTTCAGCAATAATAGATGTCACGCATTATATAGATCATCCCGCAACCGGAATATATAATATATAGTAAATGCATTTATATTTTTATAAGTACATTATACTTCTCACCACACATCAATTAAATAGAAAATCTAAGAAGTGTTATTTAAAAACAACAATATTTTCAAGATAAATATAATAATTTCTTATCATCTAGGTTGAGACGTTCATAACATTTGACAATATTAATAATTCTAAAAAATAAAATTACTTTCATACTAAAATTACTAGGTACTATAATATCTACTAATCGACGCAGTAGTAATATGCAAAAGATACTGGGTCATAATCTTATTTTACATGGATCACAATTTCAACGACATCAAAAAGTTAGTTATTTTCACCATAAAAAACCATTATACAAATATAATTCGCATATCAACTATTTTATTTCAACGCTTTATGAATATTAACAAGTAATAACAAATGAACAACTTCATAACCAAATTATTTTCATAAAAAAGAAATCAAAGGAATTTTCGAAGGATTTTTTAATAATTTGAGTTTCTGTTAGGTACACGTAATTATAATAAAATACAAATTCATATTATATATACGTTATGTTTTACCCCAGATTTTTAATGAGCCCAGATAATTTAACATAAAAATTTTTTTTTTTTTGTTTTTAAATAATATTTTTAATACAATATTGAATCGAAATACTTTATATTCATATACACGATATAAATTTATAACACAACAAATAATAATTATCATTTCGAATTAATTGCTAATTGTTATCACTTATTGTGCAGCATAATATTTATTATTTATTGTTATCAATAAATTGTTATTATTAGGTATAAATGTATAATAATCATTATTCCAATCGTCATTATAATGAACAAATGATACTTAATTTCTAAACTAGTTTATTTGTTTATGTGGAATGATCAAAACATCGGGTTGACAATATCTTATTCATTTTTTTTTTTTATTGCCATCAGAATAAATTAAAGTAATTAAAGTAATATGATATCTGATAAATAAACACAAGTTTCATAATAAATGTTTCAAATATGATTACCTATATAGTATATTATATATAATATATTAAATCTACCTATATTGTAAGAATTCCACATACTTATTCAAACAAAATTAATTTAATATAAAATATTGCTTAATTATTTGTATGCATCATATTAATAATATCTACTGAAATATTAATAGAAAAAAAAAAAACTTTTAAATGACCGACATATTTTTATAACTTTTCCTCGAGTTCTAAGAAAGCGCTTAGCAAAAAAAGCGATGCAAAACTTAAGATCTTTGCTCGTTGTTCTGAAAATGTTATCTTCCTCCAGTCACTTTTATACAAAAGAATAATAACGCAAATTGCACAAATAAAAAAGGTTTACGTTAATTCAATTAAAAAAAGCCTCAAGTCTAAATAAAAAAAAACAATTAAGTTTATAGACATTGAATGAATGTAATAATTATTTGTATAACTTTTAATCTTTGTTTTGACAATAAGTATTGGACAATATCTTAAATAATTGACTAATAAGTTTAATATATCAGAAGGTAACTCATAAAATACTACGTTGGTTAAAAATCGCATTTGTTAGTAGGTATATTGGCATTATTGAGTAAATGTGATGTGAATCTAAGCACACCTAGCATACACGAAAGTCGAACTTACATTTTTTACCATGAGAATATAAAGACACATAACACAACTTTTAAGAACATGTTAAATCGGATATAAACAACTACTAGAATATAATATTATTATGTTTTTAGCATTTTATAGAAAAGGGTAAGTTTTCATATGTTAAATTAAAAAACAGTTTCTGGAATTCCCTAAGCCCGAAGTGGTTAATGAAATGAGATTTAATTTCGAAACAAGTTTTAAGCTTGTTATTTATTTAATCGACACTAAAGCTTTGCGAGCGGGTTTCGTCATGAATACAGAACTTAAATTAATGTCAAAAACACGCTGACGGATTTCGCGGTTAGGCAGCGCGCAAACTGCAACATATAATATATAATAATATGTACTATGTAGGTACCTATATCAAATCATACACATTAACGCGGCCGGTGTTAAAACGCAATCGTGTAGCACATGCGTTTCTCATTCCGACCATAATATACTACATATTATATGGTATATTACCTTAGTAGGTAAATAAATAAATACATATCAATGAGTATTACTATCATTACTAAACATAATAAATAAATTTAGATTATTATTATTTTTTACTTATAAGTCATACCGACATCCTGCTATCCTAGTATCGTACACCCAACGACGCGACGATGCATTCGAAATGTCCCATTTGTGAAAATAATCAAAATTATATATTGTGCCATTGTGGATAAAGTCTATGCACAGTAGGAAGTAGGTACGTCATAGCTATCGTAAAGTCAAGTTATCCAAAGCATACATACATTATATTTTTTAACGAGAACGTTCCAACTCAACAATTGTGTGCTTATACCGGATACCCTAAAATATTATTAATCATATATTCATATCTACTATATACGATTTATAAATAAGTAATTAATGGAATGTGCATATTGCATATATTATACCAAAGTTCAACATAATTGACAAAACATATGGATACATAGATACGGAAAACACACACAGCTTCGAACCTGAAAATGATATTAAATTGGAATTTTAGATATTATGATTTATTCAACAGCAACAGATAGACGCCTTAATTCCGAATTAAAGAACTTAGTTAGTTCAACGTACTAATCATTTTGTTTTTTTTTTACCATAAAATCAATATAACTATTGATTATAAATCACATTTATCACACACGATTATAACACGAAGGAACGTTACCTACCTATGAATAAAAACAAAATACAACCGCAGACCAAAAAACCATAGTATTATATTATCTAAGACTGTATTTACAGAATTGCAGCATCGATTCGTACGTAATGGATGCCGGCATATCGGCTTTGCTTACGGGCTACCTTCTAACTTCTTCTCCACCACCGACAATACCCCTCGGCCCTCACCCCCTCGGTATTATAATAATAATATCATAATATAAATATGAGACACAACAAACGTATTTTTTCGTTTCACTAACCTAACCAAGAAGAAACCTTGTATAGATACTTCCGGTGTCTTGTTGTCGTCACCACCTGTTGTAAAATCAGATGAGTCAATCGCAACAACCACGCAAAATTCAAACATTTTATTTTTACTGATTATCGGGTAATGATAATAAATGACTATGTTATTATTATCGCTGCAGACGTACATAATCATCGCATTACAGAGTGTTACGGTATAGAACTTGCAGTAACCGTATCTGCAGCTATTGCGAACTCGTTAAATGGTTAATAGTACTATTGAGGCAATAATAACATTATATTATATTATTATATTATTGTCGTCGTCGTTGAAGAGTTTCCGGCCAAAAAGAAAGATAAAAGGTCTTCTTGCGTGAAAAGCGTAACGATAGATCTTTTATAGTTTGCCAGAGTACACTACGTCCCTACCATATTATTCGTATAGTAGATGCTATAAATGTTAAAAAAAATCGGTAGTCTCCATCACCACTTAAATATTCGTTTATATAAGAATCACAAACAACGGTTTGTCTTCACAATTATGATATGCATCTGTTGCTGGCAATAAATCAATTTAAAAAAAATTAAAATAATATTTGGCAATACAATATTATGATATAATTACTATACCAAAATAAATTACTAAATAACTGTAGTTTTGTGTACCTTCGAAATTATAATTTTGTAGTTTTTTATTTACCCTTTTCGTTTTTATGAGTCAATATTTTCAGTATATTTTTTCATGTCGTTTTCTAACGATAATCGATCTATTGAAGTCGGAGTCATAACTCATTGCAAATCAAGTCTTCGAGGCCATTACACGAACTCAGTTGAATTTTTTTACTAATGAGCAATAATTAAATAGCTTTCAGTTTCAAAATGTAAGCTGCCCGTCAACTCTCAAACACTAGAATAAGGATCTAATTCAAAAACTAAAGCCACTTTTAGATTTTCACTGCATAGTGTAGAATATATTGAAATGTATTCAACATGTTACCAAGATTTTGTAGTCTTCTTAAGAGTAGGTTAGTCACAAAAAGACACGACGAAATGTGAAGACACCTCTCTAAATTAACAAAATATAACATTCAACAGATACCTACTTAATACACAGATGGTAAGTTCCCCGTGGGCTAATGAAATTTAAAAAAAAATATCCACCTGTAGTCTGTACGCATCTATTGTGGTCAACTTACGTTTAGCATACCTAGTAGGACAGTATGTACCTACTACTTACATTACAGAAGCGTCTGAGTCTCCGAAAAGCAAAAGGTTACCATTCGACCGGGTGAGCGCGCGCGGCACGAAATGTTGATAACGATAAAAGTAGTAACAATTGATTTATTATTTACCTCGTTCCGGCGTCGGCAGCATCAACACTGCTACTTCGTCGCGACGCGAAACGCCGTCACTCGAACAAAATGGTTTCAGCCGGTCTGCGTCTCTTTTCTTCTATCGTGTTTTTAACAATTAGGGATTGTCGGGTCAGTTTCCGTTTTTATTCTCAATAATGATATTTCATTCGTCTTGCGCCCGTCGACAGACACAAACACGTTATCACAACACCGAAACGCGACACGGACTGCGGTTAGCGCGTACGTTTTTTTGTTTCGATTTCCGTTTCGAACCGTTTTGTTTTTACCGCACGGACACGATGGTCGTGCACGGGTTCGCCGTCCCCCGTCGATGGAGTAGTGGGGTTACGGCGGCGCGTCGACGGTGCACGTGGTGGGGGTTGATGATATACCGGGGTTACCAGTTCCTCGGTAACAACCTCTCCCGGCCACGACTACCAGAACCGGATTGTTATTATTATTATTATTATTTATAATATGACCGTTGCCAAGACGCGCAACAGATAGACCGCCGCCGCCCGCCGTATGCCCGTCACCGATTTATAGTGCCGACTTCCCGAGTCCGTACGCTGTAATCATTTTTTTCGACCGCCACCGCCACCGCCACGGCGTCACGTCGGCTGGAGGCTACGAATTTATTTCACTTCAATAATAATATCGTCGGGCCCGAGGCTCGAAATGTTCTCCATCTCCTGCACAATAATAATATATTATACGTTACGCTCTTCATTTTTCGTCGAAGCCGATGAGATATTTTCGAAACGCGTAAAGTACCTACCGTATTATAATGTAGCGTTGTATGCACTATACACTCTACGCATGGGTATTACTCGAAGACGCTTTGTTATTATTTAAATAATCGAAACGACGAAACGCATTATATATTGTAAACATAATATGATGTATATATTGTTATGTATAACATTATTATACCGTTGTATAAATATAATATTCAGTTACCGTTTCGATGAGTTATTATTATTTTCGTATTTTATATAATACCTATATCGGCGAAAACAGATGCGGAGAAAATTGTTGTTTTATGCTTACACCGCGGGGGAATGAATGCCGGGATTATTGTTTCTAAATAATTTCGGTGTTCTACCATCAGTTCCGTTCGATAAACCACCGCGATTCCAGCATACGCACTTCACGGCTCACGTTAACCGTTTTCTCCATAGCCTATGATGATTGTAGGGGTACCTAAATATAATATATATTATAATACATTAATACCCATACTTACGGCCATCCGCCAATATGCGTTTACTTGTAAAAAAAAACAAACGAAAACGATGAGTTGAACAATTATTCGAAATAAAGGTTTGCAATGTTTGTAAACATTTTTTGGTATACATGGGAATGATTTAATATGTATTTACGAACCGTTTATTGACTCGACGATAGTCGATATATTTAACTATTATATACTTAATGTAATAACATACATAATATATTACATTGGCGTATTTAGAGGGTTCGTGTCCCGGAGATTAACCTCCCCTCTCCGAACCGATAAAAGGGTCACTACAATGTAGGGATGAATTTACCAATTATTATTTTTCAACAACTGGCGCATTACTACTATAATACTTCGACAACACAATATTATACTAATATTATTTAAACTGTTTATCCATAATATTTATTATTCAATATATACATATTTCAAAATAAATCAATAAACAAAAAAGCATACATAATACAGTGTTAATGATTGTGATAAATGATAATATGTGTTCTTCCTTAGCCCTTCCATAAAGACATAATATCAAAGCAGAATATTTTTTTTCAAACTCGAAGCAATTATGTTAAAATATTCCTGATTTCACGTAGGTTTGTGGTTACACGCTTTGCAGGGACAGGACAAAAAGTTTTACATGAAATTCTTGTTTCTATATTGATGAGTGCACAATTTAATTTTAAAAGTTGAATTAAGTATTTAAAAAATGTTTAAATCATATTTATACATTTATACGGTTACCGGTTACTTTTATTAGTAAGTAATTACTCCCGAAAGTATAAAACTTAGAAAACTGTAAATGTTAAACTCTCCATTTTATCTTACAATATTTAATCAAATTAATCGATGCTTATGACAACATTTTTCTTTTAATCTAACTATTCTAACTTCATAACACTAAAATTATCAGAAACACTCAATAGTCAAGAACATTAGAGTCTAATTTAAAGGACAAATTATTACAAAATACGAAATACCTAATTAAAACTGTGGGAAATAGATCAACAATTCCATGCAGTTAATACATTATAATATATGTATATAAGGTGCTTACTTAGGTTATATTAATAGTAATTAAGAAAGAAACTATCATAAGGAAAAACCACTTTATAGTAGGTGTTATAAGATAATATACTCTATCGTATTCATGGTAGCTGCAAAAATTACACCAGCTGAAGTTGATCATGAAATATTATTTTAGTGATCAGAAATCAGAAGATGATAAAATTAATTTTCCTCCATCGGCGGTGTATTAAAGTTTCAACAGTTGAAAATTTACTTAAATTTGTCTAGGTAAATTACGAAAATAACAATGTAAAATTAATTTTACATCTCCGTAGTTAGCCGTTACAGTCAGTCCAGGTCTAAAAAACACGAAATAAGTATTTTATTTTTCTGGGAAATTATTGTAATAAATTCTAAATCACATAGATACAAACATGTTTTATTTTTAGATTTCTTACTAGGTTGGCCATGATTCTTTTAAATTTTTTCTTTATGAAAAGAAAGAAATGTTACACCAAAATACTAAAAATATATCTTGATAAAAATTTGTATATCTAAGTACAAACATATTGCATAAAAATACAATTTTAAATGTCCATAATTTACCTATTATTGTTTGTTTTGATATAATATTGGTAAATACAGTCAGCTAGTGGCTGGCGGTTACTTTCACTTTCACTGCCATTAACTTTAAAAGAACAATTTAACCTCTTAATGTATGTTGGCACATAAAATGCCATAAAAAAGACGAATAAATAAATAAATTAAAAATACATAATAGCTGTATGGAAACACATTAAAAATGGATTTTCAAAAAAAAAATTGTCCATCAAGAGACAGTCAGATAACATGTAATACCCAGCTGATACTTTAACTTTGATAGTACCTAAAACAATTTGGCATCAATTGAAAACTTTAGAAACTTTTAACCTTACATCTTTGGTACTACCTATATGTAGAGTAAAATTTGAAGAAGCCCATTTAAATATAGGTCTGATTTTTCTAGATAGTTAATTTAATCTACAAGTCACAACACGCACGGCCGCGGCGCGACTCGTTATATAGATGCAATAAATGCATATTATATTATGAAACTTTCATATATAATATTAATATATAATAAAGTTTTAATGGCAACGAAAAAAATAGTTTAATAGAAACACATAATATACATTTGGTTATGGTTCTCAAAAGTATTTCGTTGAACAGATAATTTCATTAAATGAAAGTTCGTTAATTTGTACCAGCATAATGGTAAAATTTAAAGAATTTGTAAGTTTCACTGTAGCTATATAATTATTACGGTAATAGTTTATCACATTAAAAATAAATAAATTATTATAATATATAACAGCTCCCGCTATTTGAATTTAACTTTTCCAGTACGTTGAGTATTAATTCTACGATGTATAATGTTTCGATATTAATTAATATAGATAGAGGTACATTCAAATTATCTACATATATATTGTTGTATTCACAATTTTTAACAATTAAAAGTTTACACTCTAACTACTAGCTAGCACTCTATTCTAAAAATGGCCACTATCATAAATGAAAATATACTTTAATTTCACTATTAATTATTGAAAATTAAAATGTTAATAACATGCTTATCGTAACGTACGAGTATTATGTGGCATACAGTATAATATAATATTAAATATACATATCATGAACCAAAACGTTTTTATAAATAAGTTAATCTCTTTAATACAGAACACAATACTACCTACACGTATATAGTTCGAAATTGTAAAGGCCAAAAACTGTGATGAATCGTTTGTTTGGAAAAAACAATGAGAAGTACCTGTGCACTTTATTCTCGTAAATATAAGGGACTAAATATAAAATACAAATTACATTATGGTATTTATAATTGTTGTTACCACCACACCCATATAATATGTATATAATATTATATATAGGTATATGGTATACGGTATAACCCATATATTATATGGGTTTATATACGTATAGTATCTACATTCTATATGCCATGTGTTAAAATAAATTTTATTTAATATAATTCACACAGAATCTGTACAAATTACATTGTTTGAATTTAAAAATTACACACACAATAATAAATGGACTATAATATTGTATCATAAAATAAAGTGTCCTCTCATATACCTACATACAAATAAAGATATTTTTTATCAAGTTGTTTGTACACCTATAAATATTTTTGACAGCTATCTTATTAAAAAAGTAAAATTAACATAAAGTATAAATAACGAAAAAAATTGATATGCACTGTCTTTGTCATATTTTTGACTATCTTGTCTTCATAAAACCACATGAATATATGAATATATGATGTATAGTCATATTGCACTCGGCACAGCAATTCCATAAGTAATCCTACATTCCTATGCCAATTTGATTAAAGGCAAAAAATATTCATTACAAAAATAAAAAAATATTATTGTTTTGATAAAAGATGATTTTTAATTTCAGAAAAAAAGCTCAATATCTTTTTAATAAAAATTGATCATTTTAAACTAGTGTGCGTGGTATTATATACTTATAATTAATAAAGACATAAACTATGAAACATAATAACACATAATATTAACATCTTGTCAGTCAGATATCAAAAGCGCTATTATTGTTATCATTCATTTTTATCTGAAACCAAATTTGAAGGACTATTAATATTAAATTCGTTCCAGAAAAATGAAAATAATATACAAACTACAGGAGTGAAAAATACATTTTATAGTGCATACCTGAATACTTGTAGGGATTAGAATGAACAAAAAAATAATAGCGTGTGGTGCAGTTTTAATCGGAAATGCAAAATGTACTCCAAACATAATGCGATACATAAACCGAACACACATCAATATCGAAAATACGGCCATGGTTATATGTAGGTAAGCCAAAACGGAGGAGTCGCTTTGATGTATTGTAGTTTTCGAGTGTACCTCGAAATTGAGTAGGTCACTGTAATGGAAGGGTTTAATTTGAATTCAATGATAAATCACTGTATACGATAATATAGTGATTCTAAGCGTATATAG